ATAGTAGCTGGTGCAGTTCTCCATATGGATTACGCATCCTGTTGGTCTTTGGGTGATTGATCTACCTTTCTTACCTTGGGGGTTTAGTTCACATGTCATCTTTTTTGAGCACTGAAATAAAATTCAAGTTTATTTTTCATTTTATCATCCATTATTTTGCTGAAACAGGACTTTAAAAAAAAAAGATTTATTTGACAGAGAGACAGCAAGAGAGGGAACACAAGCGGGTGAGCGGGAGAGGGAGAAGCAGGCTTCCCGCTGAGCAGGGAGCCCGACGCGGGACTCGATCCCAGGACCCTGGGACCATGACCTGAGCCGAAGGCAGACGCTTAACGACTGAGCCACCCAGGCGCCCCAAAGCAGGACCTTGACCTCCTCTTTTTGCTTTATAATGTTTTATTTGGAAATTTAAAAATACAAAATTTGCGACATCTGGGTGGCTCAGTCGGTTAAGCGTCTGCCTTTGGCTCAGGTCATGATCCCAGGGTCCTGGGATCAAGCCCCATGTCAGGCTCCCTGCTCACTGGGAAGCCTGCTTCTCCCTCTCTTCCCCACTTGTGTGCTCTCTCTCGCTATCTCTGCCTCTCTCTCAAATAAAAATTAATTAAATATTTAAAAAAATATTCCCAGGGCGCCTGGGTGGCTCAGTCGTTAAGCGTCTGCCTTCGGCTCACGTCATGGTCCCAGGGTCCTGGGATCGAGCCCCACATCGGGCTCCCTACTCCACAGGAAGCCTGCTTCTCCCTCTCTCACTCCCCCTGCTTGTGTTCCCTCTTTTGCTGTGCCTTTCTCTGTCAAATAAATAAAATCTTTAAAAAAAAAAAAAATTCCCGTGTTTCCTCCAACCAGATTCTATCATTACCAACATTTTACTATATTTGCTTGTTTTATGCATATTTTTTCAGAGCCATTTGAAAATAGATTGCAAACATGATGTCCGTTTACCCCTACACATGTCAATGTACATTCCTAAGAACATGTATAGGCTCTTAGCAATACAATTATCAAAATCAAGAAATTAATGCTGATACAATGCTCATATAATAATCAGACCTTATTCATATTTTTGCACCCATTTTTTATCTTGTTCCCTTTATTATATAATTTAAAGGATTTCCAAAAGAGATCACAGATGAACACAGAAAACAAGTAACAAAGTGGGAGACCTTAATCTCACTATATTAATAATTTCATTAAGTGTTATTTACTACTCCATTAGAAAGAAGAGATTGCCAGAATGGATAAAAAAGAGTATCTTAGCCCCATGTGCTGCTCACAAGAGATGTTTGTTAAAAATGGTAACTTTCCATGTCTTCTGGCCTCCATTTGTTTCTGATGGAGCAGAGATCACGCAGATCTTTCCTCCCTTTCATGCTTCCCTATATGTCATTTGTCATTTTTCCCTTGCTACTTTCACATTTTTCTCTTTATTTTCAACTTTCAGTGGTTTGGTTATGATGTTGCTTCGCCATAATTTTCTTCATACTTAACCTGCTTGGTGTTTTCTGAACTTTTAACATCTGTAAGTTTATATATTTCACCAAGTTTGGAAAATTTGGGGTTATTATTTCTCCAGATATTTTTCTTCCCCATTCTCTCTTTTTCTCCTGAACTTCAATCAAATATATATGCACCTCTTGATATTATATACAACTCACTGAGGCTTTGTCTTTTTGTTTTGTTTTCATTCTTCTTTTTTCTCTCAGACCTTCAGATTGAATAATTTCTATTGATCTATTTTCTATGTTCCCTGATTCTTGTACAGACCTGCAGTTTTAAAACATTTTTTTCATACTACCCTGACAAGGGCTGCTGCTATGCCTGATGTGGGGGGACTGCCTACTCCCGATGTAAATAGAGCAACATGTATGTTCCCTGATTCTTTCTTCTGTGTTATCTCATCTGTTAAAAGCAGCAAGTGATTTTTTTTTATTTCACATATTGCATCTTTTAGTTCTAAAATTTCTATTCAGTTCTGTCTTACTGTTTCTATTTCTCTTGATGAAATTTCCTATTTACTTATTGAAGGCATATTTTCTTTTATGTCTTTGAGTAAAGCTGTAATAAAGCTGCTTTGACATTTTGTCTGCTAATTCCAAAATATAAATCATTTTGGGATTAATCATCATTAATTTTCTCTTTTTTCTTGATTAGGAGTCATGTTTTCCTCTTTCTTAAATGCCTAGTAATTTTGAGTTGTGTTTTAGACATTTAAGCAACGTAGATATTATGAATTCAGTTATGTTCCTCTGAAGAGGTTGGTTGTGGTTGATAAAGATTTAACAGGCAGTTATTTGGGCTGTATTCATATTCCATACTGTATCTCTCTTGTTACGGTGGCAACTGAAATCTCATTCAGTTCCCTCAGCCTTAGCTGGGATGCTTGAATCTGCTTCACACTTGCATAGTTCAGAGGCCATATGGCAATTTAGGCAAAGTATGCAGAATTTGGTGTTTTCCCTTTGTGACTCCTCTTTCCAGAACCTCCCTCCCCTCACTTTGCACTAATGTAGTAACCCTGAGCTCTGCTCTCTGGTTTTTGTGGGGTTTTTTTAAAGATTTTATTTATTGATTTGAGAGAGTGAGTGAGAGAGAGAGCACAAGCAGGGGAGAGGGGCAGAGGAAGAGGGGGAAGCAGGCTCCCCACTGAGCAGGGAGCCTGATAGGGTGCTTGATCCCAGGACCCTGGGATCATGACCTGAGCCGAAGGCAGATGTTTAACCAACTGAGCCACCCAGGCACCCCTAAGTGGAGTTTTAAATAAAGTTTAGATGGCCTCTTTTATTTTATTATAATTATTTAAAATTTGAAAGAAAGCATTGGTCATTTTTGGTGACTAATCATTTTTGATGACTAATTTAACAGTGCCATTTAAAGTTCTAATTTCCTTTAAATTAACATGTTCTGCCATTACATTCAAATGCCTACCTACAATAACAGTCAGAATGTGCTACAAACACTTAACCACCCACACTAGAATTTTAAATCTACATTCTCTTTGAATGCTGTTTTGGTGAATTTCAATGTGGGAGGTGAGATGATTTAAAACTTCACATTTTCCATCATAGTCAGAGGCATAATTTTTCTGACATCTTTTTTCATTCTGGATAAGAAATTATACTAGCATAATGTTTTTAAATAAAATTTTTCCATGTAACGAAAACTTTTTTCTGTTCAATCTATCCAAGCTAAAAAAGTTCAGAAGCATTTATTTGCTTATCATAACTGTTAAGAAATTGTAGTCATTACACCTACCAGCTGTTCTCTTCCACATCATTCCACACCGGAATAGAAAGAATACATCACTTGGCTTCAGAAACTCCTGTATTTCTCTTTGTACTTCATCAATTGTTTGAGTCTTTGGACACCTGAGCAAAATATAGAATATACCCAACCCAGCCTCTGCCTCCCAGAGCTTGCTTCCGAAAAAGGAAAGTTCTTTTCAAAGTAGTAAAGAGGAAATTATCTTTTCTTAAGTGTCACAAGCTCAACAAAACAGAATGTGGATGTTACAGAGTTGGCAAGTAGAAGAACAGAAATAATATGTGCAAGGATTAGGACTGGTTTGAGTGTTACTGCTTGTCATGAAAGGCACTGGTATTAAAGGCAGATAACATGACTGTGTTAGATCTGACCATAAGTGCATTATCGCAGAAATAAATATTCCATCTTATATAATCAGGAATTCAAATCATTATTTAATTCTTTATTACATGAGCAACTAATATTAAAACTTAAAAAATCACATTAAAAAACAATAGCTAGATGATGTTGAACACATTTTAGACATTTAAAGTAGTATAGTATTGGGGCGCCTGGGTGGCTCAATCGTTAGGCGTCTGCCTTCGGCTCAGGTCATGGTCCCAGGGTCCTGGGATCGAGCCCCGTGTCGGGCTCCCTGCTCGGCGGGAAGCCTGCTTCTCCCTCTCCCACTCCCCCTGCTTGTGTTCCCTCTCTCGCTGTGTCTCTCTCTGTCAAATAAATAAATAAAATCTTTATTAAAAAAAAAGACTTGTTTCCATTTTAGATGAGTCAAGTTTCAGATAGGAAACATGAAGGAGGAGCAGGGGTCCGGTTCTTAAAAAGGGGGGCTGGATGGGGTGTGCCAGGAGTCCCAGGCATCTGGCTAACACAAAGGCTGAGAAAGGGATGTGGAGTGAGCATGTGGGGGAAGAAGAGGCCCACACCAAGTCCTCTGCGTGCCCTTGGCCCACCGTCCTCCTCCGGCTGCAAGTGCAGAGAACGTGTGTCACCAGAGAGGCTCTCGCACCGCGCCACACTACACTCACACAGGTTTCCAGGCCAATGCACTGAGTGATGTTTCATTGCTCAGAAGTGCTTACAGTATATTTTACGAACAGCTTTTGTTAATTCACTAATATGAACACCCTTTTAAGAATATAAATTGGCATCATAAACCTCTTGCAATTAGTTCTTGGGAACTCTGCCAAATACATCAGGTAGGTCCTATGAAATCCAAAACGTCACGGTTCAATGTAACGTGGCAAGCATGAACCAAGCTTAGTCATACAGAATATCCAACACCTGTCAATACTCAATAAACAGGAATTGACGTTCTCGTGCATCACAGAAAAAGTAGATCACTCATGGATACCCCCACAAGACTCATACCTCATTTGAGTCCCTTTTTTTTTTTTTTTAAGATTTTATTTATTTATTTGAGAGAGAGAGAGAATGAGAGATAGAGAGCACGAGAGGGAAGAGGGTCAGAGGGAGAAGCAGACTCCCTGCCGAGCAGGGAGCCCGATGTGGGACTCGATCCCGGGACTCCAGGATCGTGACCTGAGCCGAAGGCAGTCGCTTAACCAACTGAGCCACCCAGGCGCCCGAGTCCCTTTTTTTAAAAAAGATTTTATTTATTTATCTGAGAGAGAGTGAGAGGACGAGAGTGGGGTGAAGAGCAGAGGGAGAAGCAGACGCCCCGCTGAGCAGGGTCACGACCTGAGCCGGAAGCAGCCGCTTAAATGACTGACTGAGCCGCCCAGGCGCCCCTTGAGTCCCATTTCTGGGACGAGACTCAGGGTAAAAGCTGAATCGCTGGCCCTATAGTGCAGCCCTTTCGGATGTGGTGTTGCAAATTTTAAAACTGACATTTCAAGAACCCACAAAGAGATTAAATGTGTTACGCTTTGATTTTATTTGGAATCATAAGAGAAACATTTTTAATAAACTCTTAAATTCTTCTCCATTAATGTGATCCAAGTAATGAATTTATAAAGATTGAATTGATTTGTTTACATACACTCAACTGTAGAAAAATTATATTCTTTTTGTTTGTTTGTTTACACCATCAAATGTAATCAAGCCAAACAAGATGGTTAACTAAAATGATTACTGAATTGAATGCAGCATTAGCTGATGGCTTTAAATTTAGAATGTGTTACTGATGTCAGGGCTGATTAGATTCGTTCTCTATCTAAAACTGATGCTATTAAAAGCTTTAAGCAATTTAGAAATTTAGATGTACTGAGTAAAATTCCAACAGGGTGAGAGAAATTCTATCAGAATTGATTCCGTGGTGGTGACTTTACATGCGCAGATGTTGGTGGGGGGGCCTTCAGCGATGGAGTAGAAAGAATAGGGTGCAGGAGGGGTGGTCGGTTGGCATCAATCCAAGAAAGGTAAAGAGCCTTGGAATGGAAAAAGTGCTCATCTTCACACAGGGAATCCCAAATGGCATAAGGATATGACTATTGCTCATTTCTGTTTCAGAACTTTCGAAGAAGCAGGCAAAATAAATGAAGGGGAAGCAAGAGGTTAATACAGCATCATGCTTTAGTTACTCCTCTACAAATGAACCCCCAGGGAAATCATGGTAGCCAGTGAGACCAGCAGTTTTACTAATAAGAGGAATGTGTGGTAAGAGCAAGGGTGATCTGCACACTGTATGGAATAATGATGCGTCAGGAGCACCTCAGAACCTAAAAGCACACTGCAGGGATCAGACCCATCGAACTGCCAGGGAGAGTCTAATGGAAGAACCGTCCTGGTGCTCCAAGGAAAGAGTCCAGCCCCAGGGCTCCTGCAGCTGACCTGGGGAGATGTTGCTGGTAGTGATGACTTTGGAAAGGTGTGCCATGGGGACAGTATGCCATTTCCAATGTCTGTGACTTTAAAATATTTTATTACTGGTCCAAATGTCCTAAGACATTTTAAATGGGAAGGAAAAACATTATTTCCTGGACTGAAATGCTCTGGATCTTTAGATTCTGTTCCTGCGCAGGTGTGTGGGAGAGGGTATCTGTCAGTAGGTCAGATCTAAGCTGGAAGGCTCCTGTCACTAGTAATGCAGCTTAGCCATCTCTAGGAAAAAGGCAGCAAATAATTTGGATCCCTCTATGTAGTTCCACCTAACAAAAGAAAAAATAAAGAGAAACACTGTTATTTCCACTCAATTCCTGAGTGTACAGACGGGGGAAAGTAGCCTACCATGTAAATAGGAAGCTTTGGTAATGTGAATTCAATCTAAAGTACGTAGCACATCGGAAGGTTATGATGTGGAGACCCAGGGTTTGTGCAGTGTAGGACTGGCCCCCCACAGGAATCCACTAACCTGTTGATTTTCTCATTCTGAGAGTGCTCCCCATCATCAACAGTGCCCAGCGGGAGCATCATCACACTCTTTTGGATGGTATCCTGGAATATTCTGGCAATTGGTATGGTTGATCCATCCCGGATCATGTCTGGCTCTGTTCCAAACACTGAAGGACAGGGAAAGAAGGCATTTGAATAAAATAATGACAAGACTGGGGCACCTGGGTGGCTCAGTCGTTAAGCGTCTGCCTTCGGCTCAGGTCATGATCCCGAGGTCCTGGGATCAAGCCCCGCATCGGGCTCCCTGCTCGGCGGGAAGCCTGCTTCTCCCTCTCCCGCTCTCTTTGCTTGTGTTCCCTCTCTCGCTGTGTCTCCCTCTCTCTCTGTCAAATAAATAAATAAAATCTTAAAAAAAAAATAATGACAAGACTATCCCTAGTCATCTTCTCAAATGTAGTGTTTGCTTTGTCTTTCCCTTTTTCTTTTTCTTTTTTATTTAACCCTTAAATTTGGTGCCTGGGGTAAGTAAGCTTCTTGATACCATGCAGTTTATATTCTAAAATAGTCAATAGAGTCAGGTTGCATTCTTTACAATTACCTACTTCAAAAAAAAACTTTTAAATAAAATTTTTATTTTGATTTATAGATTTTATAGAAAAGTTGCAAAAATAGTACAGAGAGACTTCCCATATGTTCCTTACTTTACTTTCTGTAATGTTAACATCTTATATAACTATTGTACAGTTATAAAGAATAGGAAGTTCACATCGGAATAATATTATTAACTCGATTCAGACCTTATTTAAATTTCACCAATCCTTCCCTTCTGCCATTCTCAGGATCCAGTGCAGGATCCCACACTGTTTTGTCATTGCTTCTTATTCTCCTCTGGTCTGTGACAATTTCTCAGTCTCTCCTTGTCTTTCATGACCTTGACCTCTTGAAGAGTACTGATCAGTTGTTTTGTAAAGTATCTCTTCATTTGGGTTTGTTTGATATTTTCTCATGATTGGAAGAGGTCATGCATTTCTAGCACAAGCATTAGAAGACAATGTACCTCCTTTTATGGTTGTTTCATGAATTAAATATTTGGAAAGTGGGACTTCCTTGGTTTTGTAACCAGTATACAAATAAACAGCGGTATTCAACTGTCACCTGAATGGTGCAGTTTTTCTGCTCTACTGTCAAGGTATCCCATGAAATAGCTTTAACGGATATCCTAGGGCCTAAGGAGCGATGGCTTCAAACCTTCCAGGCAAGAAGTTGAGTTGTCAGTGATGGAGTAGAGATGCAAAATAAAATGAAGGCACAAATGATATGCCATGTCTTCTTTATCCACAGAGCAAGGTGTGAATGTGAGTGAAGAAGATGCACCTTGTTGGAAGAACTGGTTTCACACACAATAAACCAAAAGGTGCCTTATGCTTTCCTGCAAGAGTATTTCAGGTCTTTACTGTTGACCTTGACATTTCAATCACACATCACTCTTCGGCTGGGATTACATTTACCTTCCTAATAACTTTTCTTCCTCTGTTCTTGACTTCCAAATTTTACTGGTAAAATACTGCTACAGCTGGGAGCAGGAGGAACGATTATGTAGAGAAGTGGGGCTCTAAGTCTCGGACCTGTCCTCTAATTTTTAATGTCTCTGTCCTTTGTACAGATAACCCTGATAAGATGTTAGTGCTCCCAGATGGTCTGGACCTCCAGTCCCAGCTCTGCTCTGTTAGGGATGCGGCCTGAGGCCTCATCTGCGATAAAGTACCATAAGTCATATAAACATGTGTCAGGGTTTCCCCGCCTCACTTTTGGGGACACCCTGAAAGTCCCCCTGCCTTTCAGAGTCCGCTATGTTGCAGTTGTTGGCAGTGTCCCCTTCCAGCTGCGGAAACCAAAGGGACTGGATATTCCTTCTCCCTGCCCAGGCAGCCAGGGCCCAGGTAATGTGTCCTGTGCTCACCAACCACATGATCCTGCCCAGGACTTGGAAGCACATGCAGTTAAAACAGGCACCACCAAAGAAATTCCAAATAAAGCTATGCTGCTTTCTCTATCTCTGGGGAAGCAAGAGTGGCACTGAAAAGACCACTGGTTTTAGAGTCAGATAGGCTGGAATTTGAGTTCGGTGTTTGGTAATTTTTTTTAATTATATAAAATTTTATAAATTTTTGTATAAAATTTTATAAAATTATAAAATGAGCATCCCAGGAAGCCTCTCTGTGGAAATGGCAGGTGGCCTGCCATGGGGCTGTTTGCATCAGAACTGGACCCCCCAGAGAGTGGAGATTAAAGACCCAAACCTTGTGAGGCTGAGTCCCTGGTGAGCCCCCACCAGGGTGAGGCTGGCTCTTAGGGAATGCCCTGCCTTTATTTAATGGGTCTCACTTCCTGTTCCCTACCTCCTGCTGGCCTATGGCCATGAAAACCCAAACCTCCCTGTGACCAAAAAGAACAAATCCCCTCAGGGCAGTCCAGTGTCAGCTTTCTTACTCCATTAAATTGTAGCTCCTCTTTTTTTTTAATAATTTTTTTTTTTTTTTTTTTTTTAGAGAGAGGGAGAGAGAGAGCCCATGCGACATGCGCCAGCGCAGGAGGGGGGGGGCAGAGAAAGAAGGACAGGGAGAGAATCTCAAGCGGACTCTGCACTGAGCCCAGAGCCCGGAGCCCGACTCAGGCCTCCATCCTACGACGCTGAGATCATGACCTGAGCTGAAATCAAGAGTCGGGTGCTCAACTGATGGAGCCACCCAGGCGTCCCTAGCGCCTTCATTTTTAACCCCAGATCTCCTATACTTTCATCCAAATTCAGCTATGCCTTTTAAAGGACATTTTTATATGTGGGTCATCATTTTCACAAGTATCAGGGGCTACCAAGTCCGTCATTTTGCCCCAAATTCAGGCTTCCAGACATGAACCCAGCTTTGCCACTTCCAGCTGGGTGCCCTTCATTCCCCCAATTCCTTCATCTCTTGCAGACTTACTTTGTAAACTGGGAAAGGCCGTGGGGAGGGGTCAGGAGACTGTGTATGAAGAGCCCTGGGCAGAGCTGTTGACTTTCAGCAACGGAGCCTCTCTGAAAAGGAGAGCTAAACCGAAATTCTGAATGAGCCTGCCTTCTCCACTGCCCCACCAGGCACCGCGCCCTGGAACCACTGAAAACTGGCAACTCGAGGCATCGCACGTCTAACCTGTTTTGATGGCTCTTTTTGCTGCCAGATACTGTTTATCTTTAATATTTGCGATCCATGGCTGTAGTCCTAGCGTCATAGAAACAGCCATCTGGTTGGAACTATTTCTTTTGGAGAATATATATTCAAGATGCTGCTTCACCTGAAAAGGAACATTTTCAGTGGTAAGAGAAAATTTCAAGTTATTCTCCCGTGCAGTACTCTTTCATCAAGAAACTGAAATCCCAGCCCAACAAATTCGAGTGTCGTGATTTTACCCTCATTCTCACAGAGGGCCTCTGGGACTGAGAGCTTCAGCACTGAGAGAAACACTGTTCTCACGCCCCTTCTATCTGTGGACCCTCCATTCCTCAGCCCTGCGCCCACCCCATCCTGACCTCAGTGTCAGATTGCTAATGTTTGGTAATTATGAAACACAATACAACTTCTCAATATGAATATCCCTCTTTTCGGACTTGTCAGTACCTTAATGACTATTTTGGGAATATTAGGCATTTGTCACTTCCTGAATGGGGGGGCAATTCCAAACTAGGCTATAAAGGAGCGTTTTGTCAGTATCCTTCTCTGTTCCCTGGGCTCCATTCCAGTGGCCACCATGGAAATCCTCCCAAGAAAAACTCCACACTCTGAAATATTCCTCCCATTCATTCCTTTGACAAACAATTGTTGAATGCCTGTCATGTTGGCATGAATGTTTCTAGGTGCTGGGATCATAGCTGTGAGCAAGACCAGGGTGGGGCTGGGGCTGGGGGTGGGGCTGGGGGCTCCCCTGGTGGAATCCATGTGTTGTGAGAAAGAGAAACAATACATCCAAAATGGAAGGGAAGGTGGGGAGAAAACAGGGACAGAGACAGGGAAGGAGGGCATTTTAGGATGTAATTAGCGCTAAGAAGACAAGAAAAGAGGTCAATGGGAGATAGAGATTTGGGATGAGGTGTTCTTGGAGCTCATTTATTCAGAGCCTACTTTCTGTTGAACTTGAGGTAAACTGATGATAGCTTGATAATTTAGACATTAAACTCCTTCCAGATAACATTTTCATTAAAGTGGCTGCTTTCAGAGTGTTGACTGCAGACACCAAGGGCAAACTAACTATGGGTTTGAGCGTTTCCAGCTCCATCCGGCCATAGGCAGTCAGCTTCTCCATCTGTGTGTAAACGAATCTTGCCTTTATGTCAACTGTTTAATGTAAAAATACGTCCCATCACTCCAGCTCCGAATGGTTATTTATCTGACTACTGTAATTGCATATAATTACAGAAAGAGATTTTTACAGAACAAAAATTATGTTGGTTTCTTGACATTTGTTCCAGTCCCTTTTATATTGGGGGAAAAAATGAAACTTCAGTGCTAACAACGGAATAGCTCACTACCCTGGGATGCGACACTCGAAATGTGCCGTAGAGAGAACAATGCACATTTGTTACCTGTTTTTCCACCACAGATGTATTCATGTGAGGGACGAGACGGATTGAAAATTTTCCTATAACTTGGCCAGGGATGACTGTTTTAGCTCCAGGCTCATCAAATGCGCCCTCAATCCCATGGATTGAAAGAGATGGGTACCTCCATAGGTGCATTAGAATCTCCTCCTGAATTCAAATAAAATTATTTTACTATATAAAAGATTGTTCCATTAAAACTCTGTTGAATTGCATTGCTTGTACCGCCCATTTCTGTACATCTCTGACACCACTCATGACAAGTTAATTATCACCTTCCTTAGACATGCCTGGACTATAACACAAGCCTTTCCCCTCCGGCCCCGGGACCCGCTGCTGCCCCCCGCCTGACCGAGCTGCTCCGCGGACGCGGGCCCCTCACTGCCTCAGCTCCGCAGTTAATAGATGGCAAAGGGGCTTTCAGAATTTGGGGCTTGATTAGAAATTTCTATCCCCAGTCACCGTGATGATCAGTTGCACAGGAAACACATTTTCTTTTTCAGAAGACTTCAAAGAACTCTGCGTTATGTTTGAGCCACTTTTCTTCCCTGCTCCAGCCAACACAGGGCTGGTCCGAGGGAAGAGACCTACTTCACAAAAATCAACTCGACCGCTTCTGTTGGCCATGAATCTCCCTCTCCTGGCAGCCCCCCAGAAGCAGTCTGAGCCAACACACACCATAGCAGGCAAAGGTTTTAAAAAGAAGAAGATAGGGAAAGAAAAACTTCCAAATTCGCCAGAAATGAATGCCGTGGGCTCTGGCTTCTTTCCTGCACTGCGGCAGCGATGTAGCAGTGTACAGATTAGCCCCAGAGGCTCTTAATTCTGTCTTTTGAAATGAACACTTAGGAGTCTTGGAGCTAGAATAGTCTCAGACTGTTCTCAATCTTTAAGCAGAGAGGAAGCACGGAAGCTGAAGGCCGGCATGGGATGGAGTCCAAGAAGCCGACTTGGAAAAGCACATCTGCGAACTGAGTGATGGCCCCGGGTTCCGTGCCCGAGGCCAGTGCCACCAGTCAGACCCAGATAAAGTTCTGGTGCTCTAGACCTGAGGGAGGTGAGTGACTGTGAAAGTGAAAATCTGCCTCCGAATCAACATCCGCTTTCAGTCCTGACATGTGCAGATTTGCAGCCCCCACGGTAAATGAGGAACAGGAGACATAAGGTTTATTACTGTCACTCCTCTTTCAGGACACCATACCTTGGTGTCAAACAGAAATCTCTTAACCTGGACGCTCTTCCGGTATTCTTCTAGGTCCAGATCGATGGCTTCATACATCTTTCTCTCCTCTTCAGTAAGAGGGGCCACTTGGTCATAGATTCCAGGGATCAGAATATGACCAGAGGAGTCTACAAGGCTACCTGCAAGGTACACACAGGAAACAAAGTCAGGTCGAAGTTAGGAGTGTGCTGACGTTTTCAGACCCATTTCAATGTCCACCTTGTCAATGGCGAGATGGAAACACGTAATTGGCTGTGGCTTACCTATATTACCTAAGTCCTCAATTATACCTTCTGTATCATAGATAAGATTCCTTTTGAAATTTTAATTTATCCTGAGTTAAAAAGTAACACATGTTCATCATAAAAAATCTTAAATATGTATATATATGTTATGCAAACATCCCCGAGGAACTGAAGGTCGTCTTTCTCAGCTTCTCTCGCCCTACACACACCATCATTTAATAGACACTCATCTTTCATCAAAAGCATAATACCCTTGAGGTCTAGCCTATGAGGCATACATCATGACCACAACTGCCTTCAGAGTGAATACACAGATATACTAGTCTGTTATTTATGAAAGCGTTTGGGGATTAATAGGAATGGGGGGAAATCATCAATGAATACGTACAGAGGAAGCAGAAGTGGAGATTTAGTAAACACTGCTCACTACCTTGAGAATGTACTTATCCATGTAGCAAGTAGACTAACAGGAATGGTTAAGTGTATCCAGGGCATCTAAATTCATCCTCAGGCTGCCTGGGGCCTTTCATTCAAGTAAAGACACTTCATAAAAAATATGCTCCACATTCTTTTATTTTTTTTCAATTTTTATTTATTTGTCAGAGAGAGAGAGAGAGAAAGAGCGCAAGCAGGGGAAGCGGTAGGCAGAGGGAGAAGCAGGCTGCCTGCTGAGCAGGGAGTCTGATGCGGGGATTGATCCCAGGACCCTGGGACCATGACCTGAGCTGAAGGCAGACGCTTAACTAACTGAGCCACCCAGGCGCCCCATATGCTCCACATTCTTAATGTGACTATAACTGGACAAGGTCAGAAAACTACTGTGAAGCACTGTATTTCCAAATCTTCCTGTCACACCCGACAATTACAAAGCAGGGGGTCGAAGCCTCCAGGAGAACCGATGCATTCCCCCTCATTACTAGACACCTTCTATGTTCAGGGCAAGGGATGAGTGCTAGAGACAAGAGCACCTGTTAAGACCCCGCTTTCATCAGCAACAGTGCCATCGCTCACCACACAGGCTAAATGACAAGTATGACCCTCCCTGAGACCAACAGCAGATGGTTGGGCTCTCTGTGTAGACACAACAGAATCCAAGGTAAAGTCCCTACCAGAACCCACAGCGATGGCCCTAGTGTGGGGCATAGTGGGTGTCCCCGCACTTTGAGATGATCCTACAAGGCAAAACCCCAAGCTTAGAGGTATCGAGGTGGCAAGATGAGAAGGGAAGGCTTCGCTGTTCTGGTTTTCAACCACATCCTCCTTAGCGCCCATTCCTGGTCCCCCCATACTTCACCCAAACTTCTACAGCTGCACTTTGGGTACGGTTTGCGGCCTGCTGTGCATGAGCCAGCCTCCCTGCGGCACTGAGTGATGGAATTCCCTGCATTTAGCCCAATGAAGTGTATAAATAGTAAATAAATGGGATAAACCTGTTAGTAAAATTCAAGTCAAACAATACATTGGGTGCCAATGATTGGGACTGGCTGTCATTGACTTGCAGGCCACCCTCTGTACCCTCACCAAAGTCAAAATCAAACATAAAAGCACCATCAATAATACAATCACTAAGTCTTCCCCTCAGTGCACGTCCCTAAACTGCTGCTGACATTCTCCTAGGCAAGCACAGAGCTGCAAAAGTGAGTAAGAGACAGACCCTGCTCATAGTCCGGCTGGAAAGACACAGGGTGAAGAAACACCTGTAGGTCCACAAACAAACAGTTGTAAAGGGGAGCATTCTGCAGGAGCACGGGAGCAGGCCGGGAGCCCCCAAGTGGGGGGACGCACAGAGCAGCATCACGGTTGGGCCCCCGAGATCGTGTGGGACGCGCCCGGCACAGCCTCGGTGGTGAGAAGAGAGGAGTGTTTGAAATGTCAAGGTTAACAACAATTAAGACCTGAAATACTCTAGCGGCCCGGATGCTCGGTGTCCATATTTTGACACTGAACTGTGACATTTTTCCTATTATTCCAGCTGGCCTTGCCAGATATTACCATGGGGGTGGGGGTCAGGAGTCGTTACAGGTTAGGCTGGGCTTTGAGTAGAGTGGCCTTTCTACATGCTCTTTGCACTTCTCCAGCACAACTGGCCCGGCCCAGTCCAGGGTATGGTTTTGAATCACGGATCCTGTTTTCTCCGGATGCAGGGCAGCCTTCCCAGCCGCGGGCTGGAAAGAGAGCCAGCAGACACATCTCCCGAGAGCAGAGGAATGGCATGTCCTCCTCTCCCGGCCCCTTCCAGCCCCCAGCAGAGGGTTGTTTGGTGGGGCTGTGGGACACACGGTGTCCTCCAGGCACCGCCAGGCACCGCCACCGCAGGGCCGGGCAGTGGGAAAACGCCACACGTGTGCTGTTCATGTTCCTGCGTTCCACATCTTGCCCCAGTTCTTCAACATTGAATGCGTTCCCAGGAAAACAGGATGTTGCTGAAGGAGTTCATCTCCCCACCCCCCTTCTCCTTTCCCACTTGAAATCATGATCCTCTGACCTTGATGTGATTTCTGCAGCCGCCAGGGCCTCCTCGGCCAGGAGCCCAGCCAGGAAATGCATGGGAGGCAGAGAGGGTGGTGCCTATGAAAACTGCAAGCAGGAAGCAAATGTAATCCTTGATCCCCAGGAGTCCTCTTGGAATTTAACATTTTATTACTACAGGGTATTTGGTGCTTATAAGAGGGCCCTGGGCCCCGTGACCCTCCCTGCCTTGTGGCTTTTAGGAGAGTGCAGGGATTGGGAATGTCCACCAAGAGGAAAGCTCAGGAAGCTGAGCACTCTGTGCAAACTGAGCATCTCCACGCCCACCACCTCCCACCTCCCAAACACACCCCAGTTTAAGTCTCTTTGAAGATGGGGGCGGACTGGTTTCCCTGTGTCCCCCAGTGGAGACTCCCGTGCCTTTCACACAGCTGACACTCAATAAACCTTTATAATCTATTAGCAATCACAGTTATCAGAATCATGCGATCCGAGTTCCTCCGAGGAACTCGGAGGACAGAGAGATTAGGAACTTGTACAAGGTCACACAGCAGCAGGTTTCCTGACTAGCGTGTGGGGCACCTGCCAGTCTGCAGAGGGAGGACCCGACGGAACCAGCTCTCCTGGGACATCCTAACCTGCGGTGGCCCCGAAGGAGGACCTATTGGGGTCAGCAAGCCAAAATGCTTGTCATCAGTGCCGAAGCTCAACTCTAGATCCTTAGGTCTTTGTACAAAGCATACGAAAGCCATATAGATGACCCAATCCAGAACCATCTCACTATGGGTTATTTGATTTGTCTCAAAAAATTAAAGAAAGTGAAACCATATGCTTTTCATTCTGTTCATGATCCCGATCTGATTTTTCCTATAGCAGAACCACAGGTATTTGTAGGACTAAATGGAATTCTATGCCTGAGTGAAACTGTACAGTCCAAGAGAATGTCATGCAACAATCATGATGGGGGAGAGAGAAACGCACCATAAAGATCTGATGATGTTGTTCCTCGGGAAGAGAAAATTAGTTCTGATAAAAGAGAAAATGAACACCCCCCCAGCAGCTCTAATATTGAGTTGCATGCTATCTGAATTCTTCTGGAAACATAAACACTTTAAAGGAAAATGGATTGTTGTAGTCTGTCTGAAATTATCCAGCATGGGAAACATTGTCCAAGAATAATATTTTAGGAAAACTAGAAGGCCATAAAGGAATAGAGAGATGGTAGATAAACAGAAAGAATAGGTGGATGGGAGATGAATGACATGTAGCAGAGCTAGATAACACATGATAGGTAGACATACAGATTTCATTATTTACTTCAGGGAATGAAGGAACAAGAAGCCCTACAATTAAAGATGGTCCTGAAGACCCTGAAAACACCTCCCAACAGGTGGCCCAGGTGGGCTGATGGTGCCCAGTCTGAGACTGCCAAGTCCAAGGGGATGCAAGCGAGTGGGGCAGAGGTAAAGCTGTGTCAACACAGAAAGACTTTTGCTAATCAATCCCTGGAGAGGACATGTTTTTTGGTAGTTTGTCTGCCCAAAGGGGGCACGTTGTAACATTTGCATTAAGGTACCCTGTGTGCCAAGGAGACAGATCCAAGTATTGTGGGATCTGAAGCTTTCCTGAGAACCTCTTAAAAAAAAAATAAAAAAAAAAAGAACGCCAAATTATGAAAATAAAAGTGAAGTGTCCTTGCCAGGACTGTAAAAAGGGGCTACTCCAAGTGAGGTTCCTGAGGATGCAGCTTCCTTCACTGCCGGGATCCATCCTGTATGCAAGCAAGAGCAACAGGATGAATCAAGGTGGTCAGTGTGGGCACACTGGCCCTCTGAAAGAGCACACACGTATGCACACCTTCCGCCAGTGAACTCCAGGGGCTCTACGGGAGGGCAGGAGCAGGCAGCAACGAGTAAACCAATGGGAGTCTCTGTGCCACTTGGGGCCACAGAACTGGAAACAGGGTGCCAGGTGGTGCTGGTGTCTTTGGCATCATCTCTGGATGCCTCTCCAGAGGGGTCTCTCTGCTACTGCCCCTGAGTATGGCTAGATGTGTCACAATACCCAGTAAAAGAAAAGGGGGTGAACTGAGGAAGAGCTTCAGTCCATGAACAAATGTAATGTGGACTTAATAATCCTAAGGAACGTTTAGCTGAAGTTGCGGGGGGAGCTAAGAATATGGTTTTTCTTCTATTCTACCCTTACACAGAACTGGCTTGGAGGCCAAGGGAGGAGAGGTGCACTGAGTCAAACAGAACTGTATTCTAGTGGATTCCATGATGCTTAAAAAGTGAAATGAAGGAGCGCCTGGGTGGCTCAGTCAGTTGAGCATCGGACTCGTGGTTTCAGCTCAGGTCATGATCTCAAGGTCATGAGATGGAGCCCCACATCAGGCTCCATGCTCAGCGGGGGTCTCCTTCTCCCTCTCCCTCTGCCTCCACCCCACGCCTCTCTCCCTCAAACAAATAAATCTTAAAAAAAAAAAAAAAGGTGAAATGAAATAAGACATTACCAAGAAGAGCAACCAAATCAGCCATGGGTTCACTGAGGATACCCCCAAAGGTTCCTGAATGAAAATCTTGATCTCTGCATCTCACCTGTAAGATGGGTGAACAGGAGAGGCGCTCACCTCTGAGGTTGCTCTGGCGATAGCGTTCACGTGATAGAGAACGCCCCCCACACTGTCCCTCAGGACTCAGGTGGCTACCTCCCAGTCACACGACTTGGACCATCTACCCCTCCCAGGTCTTCATTTCTCATTCTTTCCCAAATCCTCAAACCTGATTTCAGTCCCCAGTTGTTCCTCTAACACAGCTCTCTCTGGGGCCAGCAGCCCCTTCTCCGAGTGGCTGAAGTCGATGGAGCCCGCCCATCTACCCTTCCAGAAACCGTCTTCTCTTTATTGTCCTCTTGCAATTCTACTGGTGTCTCCACTTGTAACTTCCTCCCTGCCTCCCACTCTGGAGCTCAGTCCACGGCTCAGAAAAAAACAAATGATTTACCACGGAGGGACTTTCTGGTTCTGAATTGCTGTCAGTATGAATAGAAATGTTAAAGGAAGCTGAACTGGACAGCGTGCTTGGGGATCACAACCACCCTGGGCCCGCTTTACAGGTAAAGAAACCGAGGCCGTGAGGTTAAGGTGTCCGCACAAGACTGCGCACCATGGGAGCCAGAGTCCCACACAGCCAGGCCATGCCGGCGCCCCCCTCCTCCCCCCTGAACACACACACCCGGGGGGCTCCGGCCTGAGTGGCGGAGCAGGTGCCGTCCCACTCATGGCAGCCCAGCCCCTGATCAGGCAGGCAGAGTCACAAACCCCTGAATCCTCTCCCTCCGGAGAAATGCACACAGCATAGCCACTCCGGTTGGGAGGCTTCCTGAATTCCCCAGTCCCGAGACCTCTGGGACCCCAGGCCATGCCTCCAGCTCAGAACTCTGCTCTCCCAAGAGCTTTCTCTCTTCCCACCAAGATCCCAGGACAGACTCCTCCCTCCACACCACCGCGAATACCTCCACCCTGAAGTAGCTGTTTCCTCGCGTGCCATAAGTGAGGGCTGGCTTCCTCTGGCTGAGCCACAGATTATCTGAAATAACGATGTAGTCTACACTGGAAAAGAACTGGTCCTTCTCCTTTCTGACCAGTTCCTCCAGGCCAACGGAACCGGCTTCTTCCATCCCTTCAATGACGAATTTGATATTCACAGGGAGATCCTGAATCAAAATAACAACAGAACAAACCATTCTGGCAAAAAACTGCATGACTTGCCCATTCGTCTTTTCATATCCAGAATTCGTTTGCATGTGACATAAATACACAAATTATTACATACATTCAATGTACGGGTTGTCCACATTCCCAACAGCTCCGTTCACAACAAAGGAGTTGTAACCAAGACAGTGAAGGGGATTACAAGGGAAGACCCTGTGTATGGCCTCCAGCATGACCCTGATGGATTCAGTGTGGACCCTAAAGGATGATTCGGGGAAGGAATTCTTGGAGGAGAAGCAACACCCACACTGTAGAGCTCTCCTGAGCCGCCACAGACACAGATGCTTTCCTCCATCTCCCCAAAAGGAACCTTTCAAGAAAGGTTACTCGATTACAAATCTCTTTTCTGTCCTCATAATTCTGAGCGTGATAAATGGGAACTCTTCCCTTTGAAAGACTGTCTAATGTTTAAGCCTCAGGATAATTTTTATTTCAAGTATCTGTTATTTTTCAGCTTTGAGTTCAATCTGCCTTTTAACTTATTCAAAGGCTTTGATCTTGCAGCAAAATGGAACTTGAGTTTTTCTCTAGTTAATATTAGGGCAAAGAATAGCTCCTTTAAAATTTTTACAACGTGCCTTTCCCCCATTTGGTTTTGATCTTTTTGTATCTTTATAATTTATAACTTCATATCTTTCAGAGCCACATGAAGAGAAGAGGTCAAAGTCTTTTCTTGGAGCATAAAACACACACAGGAGAACTCCAGAAGTAATTCTGTGCAGATAAACGGTGGCACAAACACACTAATTAGTTTGGAAGGGTGGAATTGACTCACCACAGATTAACAAAGGCAGGATGACTGGAGGATTATGTATCAGAAAGTAAGTGACCTTCGGTCATTCAGTTGGTTAAGGGCATTTGGGGATAATGATTTGTTCGAATGTATCCTTTGCATAGATTTATTTCCATGTGTCTTAAGAAGTTAAGCTAAAATTCTGCAATATTAATATTTGAAAGCTCTTTATTAACATTTAACTAGAAAACAATTGCTGAGAAGTAGTTGGATAGCTTAAGAAATTTCTGGCAAAACATGATTAATAAAATGCAAGCCAGTAGCCCCTATGTGTTGGGGGAGGAGGACAGACCAGCTGCCAGGCCTGGGTTTGGGTGTCTGCTCTGTCACCGACACCCAAGAGACCCGGGACAAGCCACTTGACCTCTTGGCCACTCACGTCCCTACCTATGCAATATGGGTAATAACAGTTGTCTGACTCTTAGTAACACCATCCAGTGACATGAGGTGCATTCAAGGGCTCAGTAAGCAACAAAGAAAGAGAGGATCGGGGGGGGGGGGGGAAGAACAGGGAAGAAACCCACCCTCGTAAAGGGCCTCGCTCACACAGGCATTGGGGCTCCTCCGTGTGTTACCCCGTTTACTCCACTCCAGGTTCCTGAGGCAGAAATAACTATTCCTAGTTCACAGATTAGGTCAATGAGGTTCTGAGAGATCAGCCGATTTGTCCAAGGGCAGTGAACACTTCTTATGTTTTGTCTGTGTTTATGTACGTTTCACAGTTGAAAGTTAAAAAGCAAAGCAGATTTTGGCCTTTATACAGATTCTTTCTTATAAGTATTGTTCTCTCCCTTAGGAGGAAGGGAGGGAGGAGGGCAGGGAGGGAGGGAGGAGGGCGGGGAGGGAGGGAGGGCGGAGGGCAGGGAGGGAGGGAGGGGGGGAGGGGGGGAGGGGGGGGGGGGGGGAAGGGAGGAGGGCAGGGAGGGAGGGAAGAGGGCAGGACCTTGTCATCGTCCTCATCGTTGTCATCATCGTCATCGCCATCACCTTCATTGTCATTGTCATCACCATCACTGTCATCACCTTCATCACCATCATCAATATCACCGTCGTTGTTGTCATTCTAGTCATCATCGTCATTGTTGTCATTTTCGTCATTGTCATCTCCTTCAATTATCATCACTGTCATCATCACCATTTCAATGTTGTCATTCTCATCATCATCGTCATTACTGTCATTGTCCTCATCGTCGTCGTCATCATCATCCTCTCACCACTGTCCTCACCCTCATTGTCAACAGTGTCATCATCATTGTCATCATCCTCATCATCATTATAGTCATCGTCATCATCCTCACCTTCACCGTCAATGCTGTCATCATCATCCATCACTTTTGTCATTACTGTCGTCGTCATTATCATCATCACTGTCCTCATCATCACCTTCACTGTCAACATAATCATCGTCACCATCACCATCATTGTCGACATCATCCCTTCCCAAACACAACTGGTTACCTACTTCCTCCAGGGATCTGAAGGTGCTCACGGCATTAATCCATGCCAAAACAGGGCCTTTATTGTCTGTTGCTCCCCGTCCGTAAAGTTTTCCTTTAAAAATAGGGGAAGAACTTTTAGAAAAGTACAAACACCTCTGCCAAGTTGAGTGAGTTAAAAACAAAGGTAGTGTTATGGGTAATCATTTTAACATTGCTTTCTACTTTTCCAGACACAAATCTTGCTCTGAGGTCACAAAGTCTGATTTCTTATGTAAAAACGTTATGGCCATCAGTTAATCAGATAATATAAACTAATTTGAAATTTACGGGTCCCTTTGGCCTTAATAGGAATTAGCTATTTTATCCAAGTTCATTGAAAAGGACCTGAGGATTTGCTGCAGAATGTCATGTAACATAGCCTCTCATTTCAAGATTTTATAATTAGTAGAAGAATGAAAAGGGGGTATGTGTGTATCTCCAATGAAAAAGGGGTATGTGTGTATCTCCATTAACCTTTCTTCTTTTCCTTAAAAAAACATAATTACATTTAGTATTTAAAAAAGGAAAATGTGTGATCTAGACAACTTCTTCCTCCCAAGAACTCCCATCTTGGGAGTCAATTTTGCCCAGGGGCACGCATCATGTATGCATAGCTCATAGTTTCTTTCACAAAGGAGAAAAAAGCCAGCCTCATTGGACAGCTGGTAGACTATGAGACTGGTAGCATTTTGTCCATTCTTAACAAGAACAGGGTAAGGCCTGGAGCTGGGGACGGGAGTCACATCTTCGATTCCTAATCCACAAAGAACCCAGCACTGATGTGTCACTGACCATCCACTTCCGTCAGCGTGTAAGGGTCTGTGAGCCACCCATCTTCCTGTCTAGCAGGCTGCACATCCAAGTGGCCATAGAAGCACACAGTGGGTTTCTTTGGATCATTCCCCAGTTCAGCCAGGATGATGGGAGGTATCGGGAGACTCTGACCATTAGGCAGCTGAAAAAAAAACAGATCACATTAAAAAAAGAAAAAAAAAAGTTGTTCAGTTCTCCCAGAAAATTCAGACGTGACATTAGGAGTCCAGTTTCTACCCCTGAGTTTTTTTTAGAGCCCACATATTTTTTCTAATCATCATTTTATGTACCTCTAAAATGGGTACCACGAGACGCTTAATTAAAACATAAAAAATAATTAAAGTAAAGTGCTTTCTTGGATGCATGGGGCAAACAGTAAACTTAATCAAACACGCTCTCCAATATGAACTCAGACTCAAATGGCTTAAATTAGGTAGACGTGGTTCTGGAAAACACACACCATTCAGAGACTCATCCATGCTGAAGCAGGCGGCACCTGCGCCTGGATTAAGGATCACCATTTGCCACCGGGACACAGTAATAAGCAGTGATTCTGATGAAAGACTGGACCCTTTGAGGAAGGCACATTTGAACATAAGGGAAAGGACAGTCGGGGAGAAATTTGACCGACACGTGAAGGATATGAATAGTACGGGGAGGGGGCCTTTCCCTCCCTTACCCACCCCACTCGCTCTCTGCTGCCCTGCAGTGCTGCCACGACGAGAAATCAGTAATCCCGACTCGTCTGGGACAAGATGTAATTGTTTATCTTACTGGGAATTGAGATGATGGGGCGTTTTTGAGGAGGATCGGAAGGGAGCAAGTCCCCATCTTGCCACGCCCAAGGGCAGCCAGGGCCGATGCCCACAGAAGTGGCAGCTCGTGGTGGGGAGGGGGCCATCCAACACCTGCTGAACACCCGGGTCCACGGAGTCCACGCTGGCTCCCAGGCGCCGGAGCCTGTCCGCAGCCAGCGTCATCATTCTGAAGAGTTCCCGTCTGAGGCGGGGCTGGGGCTGAACCGAGTCGCTCTCCACAGCCACCCACTCCTTCAGCGTCTGTAAGGAGAGGTGACAAGGTGACTCGTCCGAGGGGGGCCGACCATGTCAACCACGTCCACTCTAGGGCACGTGGCTCGAGGCAGGAGGCACCAAACCCTCAGCGCGGGCTGCCTGCCGCGAAGACTGAGCCAGCAAACGCAATCTTCGTCAGCGACCGCAGACGGGCTGGTGTCATCAAGAACCCAGAGGCAGAGACATCTGCTTCATGAAGAACAGGGCAGGACAGGCTGGGGAGAAGGCCGCCTTCCTGGACACCTGGGCCTGTGCCTCCTTGGACCCACCACTTCTCGTTTCTTAGGGACCGGGAGCAACTGGCTGGCAGCCCGTACTCAGGACTCTGGGCCTCCCACAAAGGCCCCTGGACACCTCTGGAACTCGCGACTCAGTCTAAGCAACCACACAGTGGCCTCGGCTGGGCTGCACGGTGCCTGTCGGCTTTGTGGTCATCCCCCTGCCCCCCTACCTCCAGAACCCGGGAGGCAGTGTGCCCCAGGGCTACACCTTGGCTCCTGCCCTGGGTTCGGCCCATTCGAGTTGTATGACTTGCGGATGCTCCTCAGGCTCGTAGCCTTGGCTCCCACCTCCCTCTGAGGGTAGTGCTCTCTGCCTGTGGGTCATTGTCAGCGTGAGGCTGCCACACAATAAGAAATACCTCTTTTGGTCTTTGTCCTGGGCTCTTGGCCAGAGCCCCTACAACCTTTACAACTTCCCATGCCATAAACGTGCTAGGAGCATCTTTTGTTCAGAGATTCAGTCTCTGTCTTGGGTTCCTAACACAGAGCTCCTAACTCCCTTGGAATTTCCTGGGAGAATATCTTGTTGTAATGAGGCGGTTCTAGTGGGCTCCTGGACAGGGGCTGGTCACCAGGAAGACCAAGCTGTGATTAGAAGCTTGGGGCTCCCCACCCCAGCCACATCCTCTGGGGAGGAAAGAGGGGCGGGAGATGAGTTAATAATCACTCATGCCCACATGATGAAGCCTCCATAAGCGTCCCTGAAAGTATGGGGTTCAGAGATCTTCCAGGTTGGCGACTGCAGCCTGGGAGAGCGGTGCACCCCAACCGCAGCAGGACAGAAGGTGCCTCCAGACCCTGCCCAAGTGCCTCTTCATCTGGCTGCTTGTATGTACCCTTTATCATGTCCTTTATTACATAACAAATGGCAAACGTAATTAAGTGTCTTCCTGAGTTCTAGAGCTGTTCTCTAGCAAAAGATGGGACCAGAGCAGGGTTCATGGGAGCCCCGACTTGCAACTGCTTGGAACATGTAAATAACGGGGGGGCTCACTACCCGAATGTGACTGGCATCCACTGCTGGCGGTGGGGGTGGGAGGGTGACACTCACACCAGGCAGGCGGTGTCAGAGGGAGTCGGACTGCGGGACGCCCCTTTGGTGTCCCGAGAACTAGACAGTTGCTTAATGTGTGGAAAAGGCACACCTCTGGCCACAGAAGCAAGGGGAGCCATCGAAGAAAACAAGCATTGCTTTCCGTGAGGATTAGAGAAGATGACGTGCATAAGACCTAGCTCAGCGCCTGGCTGCTGGCGGGTGCTCAATAAACTCCAAGTAATATTGAATTACTTGATATTGAATTTTGAATTATCAATAATATTGAATTATCAATAATAATCAATCACATCCCAGTACTGGGTCTCTAGTCGCTTATACTGGGATAGCCACCATTTTTATTAAAAAACCACGCATACTTTGGGTGACTGATCTTGGATTCCCCAACTTATTTTAGTCTGATCTCTGTCCTGGTTGTAGCACTTTAATTTTTATTATGAAGAAATTCATTTGGCCTAAGGAATATTGTGTTTTACACACTTAAACTGGAATTCATAGAACAGATGCTGCCCTGTGGTCCCTAAAGGTAATGGATTGGATACATGTGAGGAAGTTGCAGAAAGGAGAGTTTTGGCTCAAAGACCCAAATCAACATATCTCCCCCACACACTGTCCCTCTCCCTCTGCTAATTCCAACCTACAGCCCGAGTCCCCACTCGGTTTTCTAAAACCCAACAGGCATTATGTCAAGTCAATACGCCCACGAGCACGAGGAAGGATTCCATGAAGGTCAAGTCTAGGACCTGCGGCCTAGCCATTCAGCGTTGTGTGACCGCAGGAGACATGAACCCTTGACTGTTGCTAACATTGGCTGCTCGCTCCAGTATACACATACTGAACACAGATTCATGGCATGGGGGCTCAGGGAACAAGATCTCGTGACGTGTCATGGAGTCCCCGGGCTGTGGTGGACTCAACTCACCCGTGTGCCAGGGGACAAGCGGGTCAGTGGAGAAGAAGGGGACTTAGAGGCTGATGGAGGCTACGGCCCTTCCCTGCCCCCACCCTTCTGCTCCCAGGCCTCCCACTCTCCTTGCTCCTAGCCCTTCGGCTCCATCTCTTCCCCCCGAGATGTCTGCCCACACCACAGGCAGTTTGCCATGTAGTGAGTTCGGAATGGAGCAGAGGATTATAAGGGAGGAGATAAAGTGCACATTGCACAAGGACTACAAAACACCTTTGACATTGAACTTGGCAGAACTCGGGACCTAGAGCTTGCTGTAGCCAGGTGGTATTACTCTGGGATGGCGTCATGGGGGGTGGCGGTGGGGGACGAGTCGCAGGAAGGCTTTGCAGGAGGAGGGGACCTCAACGAGGGCCCCTGATGATGGTCTAGGGTCAGCCTACGCTCAGCGGGCATCAGCGCTACCCAGACAGCCCTGATCAACACACTAGGAATGCCCTCTCCAGGAGGAAAGGCTGCGGAGGGATCTCTTCCCTAAATGTAACAAATATTTATTAGTTTAACTCAGTGAGGAGCCATGGGCATTTTAAATGGAATTAAGATTTTAGGCAAAAAAAAATCCACACCTCCCAGCAAATAAGCATTCACCCAGATACCCAAAGGTTATGTCACGCAGGCATTTTGTGGGTGTAGTTTCTCCTACCTGTACAAACTCATTCTGATGGAGATCGATGTACCGGAAGGCCTTCTCCAACAGCCCGGCGGGCGGGGAGGACGGAGAGAACATGCCTCTCTCAAGCAGCAGCAGGGAGGCAAGGAGAGAGGACACCTGGAGGGGGCCATAGGGGAGGGACAGCAAAAACAAATAGCGGATTTTGGACTTTCAACCTTTCAAATAATTCAAGAAAGCTTATGTTATCCAACACAGCTGCTTCCAGTCATTTGGATTAAAATAACAAAGGTAGTAGAACAGGAAATATATTCTTTGCTTTATCTTCACCGAAATGCTTCATTTTCAACGCTTAAGAATTTCCATAAGACAGAAAGCAAGAAAACAAGCCCGTCTTTCAACGCCACGCTCGGGTTGTTCCTGCCATGGAATCGCTCCCATCGGCTCTCTTCCTGAGAAGGTAAGTCAGCGCCCTATGGCCAGGCGGCAGGGGCAATATTTGTAAGAGAGATTAGTGGGAAGCACTTCAGAACAAAACAAAACTTTTCTGTGTGATCAACCAGTTTACTAGAAAAAAAATATTTTGTAAGGACTCTCTAAAATCCCGTGTGGTCTTGTGGGTTTCTCCCATCTGCTCCTGAAGGTACAGGACCTTCCACAGAAACTCCCAAGCCCTGTTGTGATACATAACACGGAAGGCCTGAGGTTCACGTAGACCTGTTAGCCACACTCTCGGCTGGGAGGCCCGGCCCTATCTCGTCTTCCCGCAAACCCTTCTGGCCTCTCTGCTTCCATCCCTGAGCGGCCCCTAACTTCCCTCGCCTGTAAATGTGGGACCTGCCAGAGACCCTGGCCTCCCCCCTCCTCCCTCCCCTGCAGCCCCTTTCCAGCCATCCCTCCACCCCCATGGTGGGCTCCAGGCTGGGCTCAGAGCCGAAAAACTGGGTCCACAGAAGGGTAGGCTGACCAGGTTCCGAGCTAAACTAATGCTCTTCTTCCCGCCCAGCTCTTCCTTCTGGATTGTTGTACATTTTTACAATAGAACCATTTTAGATGTAGGCTGCTTCCTCCCTTGGCCTCTGCTTCCAGGCGCTGGCACGGCCGAGGTGAGGACTTGTGTCTACAATACAAGAAACTGCAACTCAATAATAAAATACAAATTAACCCAGTTTAAAAGTGGGCAAAGGATCTGAAGAGACATTTCTCTCACCAATGGCCAATAAGCACATGAAAAGACGCTCAACCTCATTAGCCATCAGGCAGATGAAAATCACTTCACACCCACGAGGATGGGTTAAAATGGAGAAATCCTACAACAGGTGGGGATGTGAGGCGGCAGCCCCTTCCTGAGCAGGCCCCGACTGCATTCCTCCTGGCAGCTGAGAGGCGGAGCTAATCCAATGACCATCCACAGACAAGTGGATACGCAAGACACGGCGGCCACACACAAGGGGATGTTGTTCAGCCACGAAAAGAGATGGAGGGCTGACCCACACCACGGCGCCAACGAACCGCTAGCACGCAGTGCGAAGTGAAGGAAACCGGACACAAGACACTGCAGATGGCATCAGCCCATGTATGTGGAATGTCCAGAACAGGCAGATCCTGAGACGGGGGAGGGGGGGCCTTGCAGGCTGCCGAGGCCTGGGAGGATTGGGGGAAATGGGGAGCGAGTGCTGATGGGCAGGGGTTCTTTCTGGGTGGCTGGAATGTTCTGAAATTGTGACGGCTACACAACTGGATATACGAAAAGCCATTGGAGTGTGCACTGAAGTGGGTGAACTGTAAGGCACGTGAATTATGGTGCAATACAGTCGTTATAAAAATAGCAATCATAAATAGAAGGACTCATTCAATAATATATCACCGAGGTGGAGAAATACCCATAAAGGAAGCAAAGTAGTGGGTAAAAATAAGATAAAAGGGGGCGCCTGGGCGGCTCAGTAGGTTAAGCGTCTGCCTTCAGCTCTGGTCACGATCCCAGGGTCCTGGGATCGAGCCCCGCGTCGTCGTCAGGCTCCTTGCTCAGCGGGGAGTCTGCTTCTCCCTCAGCCCCTACGCCTGTTCATGCTCTCTCTCTCTCTCTCCCAAATAAATAAATAAAATCTTTAAAAAAAGGGGGGGGGTAAAAGGGAGCCAGGCTCATTCATGAACAGATTAAGAATTCAGCCCAGTAGATGGTGCCAGTGGGCCATTGAGGAGCTCCCTTGGCCTTCTATTCTGAGAAGAATGAGGCTGGATTCAGCTAAGCTCAGCTAAGCAGAGCCAAAAGCCAAAGGTTACAAATAAATCCCAAAGAAATGAGTCCTCAGACCCGCACTGGCAGGAAGATGGAGCTCTGGGCACCCGGGAAAAGCCCTTTGAAATGGAGTAGGCTAATTTTTTGCAGCTGATACAGCTAAATCAATATTTGAACTTTTATTATTCATTTGTTCAATTTCCACTAAAAATTATTTGATGCACCTCTCTGATAAAAAATAAAAAGGGGAATTTGAAGAAGAAAAGGGAGCCACGGGCAAAGAAGGAAAACCGTGACCGCAAGGACCAAGAATATTTGCAGTTTCAGTGGGAATGGCCTCCTTCCCAGTGGAAGCCACGGGCCAAGGACTGATGCTCCAGAAAGACTGGTCCTGCACACCTCGCCCGCCGCTCCCCCTCCCTGCAGAGCCAGCAGAGCCCTGCTGCCCTTCGCCCTCAGGCCCGCGGGGATTCACTGGGCACCAGCCCCGCCTGGAAGGTCCTGGGTGGGACCAGGGCTGCGGATCAGCCCCTCTGGAGTTTCTCATGTTCCTTTACCTTTCCACTTGTCTCCTTGTGTTACAGTCACGCTTGACCTTGAACTAACCACCCAACAAAATTCTGTAGATACAGAAAGTTGCCAGAGAACTGGAAGGTGAAGCATGGGGTCACGGGGGCAGAGCTGGGAAGGCCCTGGGCTTCCTGTTTTCTTGGGGAGAATAGGTAGTCCAGCCCTGCAGGGCCCGTCCCAGAGGAAACCTTGCTTGCTCCACAGGCTTCTGCTAATTCCAGCTGGTTGTTCTTTGGGAACAAATTTCCAAGCGCCCTGTGCTGAATCTTAGTTTTAAACACTTTACCTTTTAAGACTTCTTAAAGTCATGTCCAGGTCTGCAGCGTAACCACCCCTGGGCCCCAATCCAGCTCCACCGCCTTAGAGCCTCCCACACCCCACCATCCCCCCCCCACCCCACCTACTGCCAGGCGTCCCCTGGGATGCAGGCCTGTTTTCACTGTCCTCTCCCAGCTCCAGACAACAACTGGACTAAGTTAGATGCTCCTTGTGCTTAGCGGAGGGCAGCCTTGAAATCACCATGGGCTGTCTTCAGAAGGGCACTTCCACCACCCACCTGGAACAAAGCAGGTGCCCTAAAAGGGGTCTGGGAACGGGGTAAGCTGTTGATGAAGCCCACTCCCTCCCCATTTGTTACTGTTGTTGGATTTTGAAGTTGACCAGAATCAACAATAGAAAATGAAAACAGGGTTGCCTCCCACGGTAGACAGCCTAGACAGCCGGACTGAGCTGGCTTCCCCCCAGGCACACAACGGGGGGGGGGGAAGCCAGAGGCCAAACCCTTTTCTGCCTGTAAGAAACTTTAGTGCCAGAGTCTACCTGCACACCAAGAATTCTACTTACCAAGTCCCCTGGAGTCCGGCGTGATTGTCTTACAGAGGCTGATCTGCCCCGTGTCAGCTTGGATGGATTTGTTATAATGCAGAAAAAATGCTTGAGTTGCCTATTTTATCTCACTATGACAGGATTAAAAATAAAATCCCAACCCCAAACCAGGCTTTCCTGGAATGTGTTAATTCCCCTGCAGGAGCTGAACTGAACCCAGCGATCCTGCAGAGATTAACTAACTCTGCAACAACTCCCTAGAAGCCTGAGCAAGCCCGGGGCGGGGCGTGGCTTTCAGAAGGGAGCCTGGAGGCAGTCTAGGATGAAGCAGAGGGTTTCAAGGAGCAGAGCTCCCCCAGAAAGTCCCAAGAACCACCAGTTTCTCCACCCGAGTAGGCCAGAAGCCAGGGGTGGAGGAGGAGCTGGGTGTGGTCATGGGGCGCAGGTAGGGCAGGCAGGAAGCCTGCCCCAGCGCCCTCGGGGCCCCAGGCTCCGTACACAGTGCTCCATCCTGGCCACTCCCAACTGCAGGGGTGCATGTTCTCTCCCTCACTCCGGTCTTCGCCCCACGCAGGCCGCAGGGAAGGAGAAAGCAGGCATTGTCTGAGCGTGATGTCACCTCAGAAAGGCCTCTTGTGACCCTTTTCATTCCCTCCAGTGTGGCCAGGGACCTGGGCCTGTCCAAACATCAGCCAGGGAGGCAGTCCGGCTCTGCGCCACTTCCGAAGCCAGCTGCCCTCTGGAAACGGGCCAGTTCACAGCGCGACGGCAAAGAGCCAGAGAAGGGGTGAAGGAGAGAGCCAGAGGCCTTGCAGGCCTGCCATGTCGCCAAGGTCACAGCCTGAAAGGCACGGTGCCCTGAGGGCAGTGTCACCCCGTGGAGCTGGAGGGTCTCCTCAGAGGCAAGGACAGAGAGCCGAGCTCAGCCTCAGTGCTGAGGCTGAAGGGTGTGAAGCCCAAATCATCAGCGGCGCTGTGCCCGGCAAGGCCAGCGTCCTCTGCTAAGATCACCTGGCTGTGGTTAGACAGGAACCACTGTTTTCTCCTTCTGCCTTTAAATCTCATTTGGCGGACTTTTCGTACGAGTGTGAACAGGATAAATCTGAACCACCCGCAGGAGGGACTGCCTGATCTCAGGGCACAGCAGATGAAATCAGGGTTCTGGTGGCAGCGGAACAGAGAAGCATCTGGAAGCTCCAGCAGGAGGAGGAGGGAGACGGGAGGAGGGCGGTGTGCACGGGGGAGCTGAGGAGACCCGGATGGCCCGGGAGCATAAAGGGGAGGGTGGATCCCAGGCCAGGCCACCTCTTGGAATAGTAGTACCGCAGGCTGTGAACAGACAGTTCCACAAATGAAAGTTCTGGAACAAGGGCAGCCCGAGGAAAGGGCAGGAATGTCTCCATCCCCCATGTTAGTTCCCTAGGGCTACTGGAACAACATCCCACAGGAACGGATTCTCTCACGGTTCTGCAGGTCGGAAGTGAGAAACCCCTCTGAGGGGGCACGCTGGTGGCTCAGTTGGTTAAGCGACTGCCTTCGGCTCAGGTCAGGATCCTGGAGTCCCGGGATCTAGCCCCACATCGGGCTCCCCGCTCAGCGGGGAGTCTGCTTCTCCCTCTGACCCTCCCCCTCTCGTGTTCTCTCTCTCTCTCTCTCAAATAAATAAAATCTTAAAAAAAAAAAAAAGAAAGAAATCCCTCTGAGGGATTTCCCTCCTTGGGGAGTCCCTCCTTGCCTCTTCTCAACGTGAGGGGCTGGCCAGCCATCCTGCCCCCCCCCCCCGGACAGGTGCATGGCTCTGATCTGTGCCTCGGGCTTCACCCGCCTCCGCCTGGGTGTAGCTCCGCGTCCCCTCTCTTCCCAGAGGGACACTGGCAGTGGCTTTAGGGTCCACCCCACCCCAGTATGACCTCATTTTAACTGATTACATCTGCACAGACCCTACTTGCAAATAAGGTCACATTCTGAGGGTCCAGGTGGACGTGAATTTTGACGCAGGCCACCCTGCACTTTATTGTACCTCATATTCTCTTACATGTTCACTTTATAATGATCCGACTTGCTTGAAGGTAAGTTGTAGGTGGGCTAGGACTTTTGTCTCCCTTATCTCCCTAAGTGCCTGTCACAGACTAAGACCCCAGCCAGCTCCTAGGGGAACAATTACGCGCAGAGTCCTGAAGGACACCAAGTGTACCTGATCTCCACTGACGTCACGACTTCTATCTCAACACTGTGTAAAAAAGCAAAATTGGTCTATTTCAGCTATAACATGAACAAGGGAAATGTAAATGTAAATTTGGGCAGATTTTGTTCCCTCCCAGCAATCTCAAGAGTCTCGAGGGTTTCCCCAAAACCCACACTGGATGTGTTCCTCCTTCTGCGGGAGGCTCTCCTGGCCTCTGTCCCTGATGCACAGCCTGGCAGCCCCGAGCTGTGCGCCCGCACAGTGCACACCAGCTGCTGCAGCCCCCAGGGCCCTGTGCATGCGGGGCACCTGCAACCAGCACCCCCTGCAGAGCATCATGGCCCACGGCGCCCCTCCCCCGCTAAGGGATTCCGGATTTCCTCTTACTCCTCAGCTTCACTGTGAGGTGTCTGACACCTGGTACATCTTGCTCAATCCTCAACATCCATTAGCAAACTGAAGACTCCTTTGTGTCTTCATTTATTCCGTAAAATTCTCCTTCTCTCTCCCAGCACTGATTCTCTGCCATTCCCTGACTCTTTCTAGAACTATGACCGTGGGCATCTTTCAATCTGTCCTGTGTTCTCCAGTTCTCTCAGCTTTTTTTTTTCTTCTTTCCTCTTCGCTCTGCTTCCCGGACACGGTGTTGTGCAGGTGACTAGGTCTCTCTTGGGGGCCAGTTATGCATTTACCTGAACTCTTGAATTTTTCCAATGACTAATTTCCATTTTCAGGACTTCACGTTGTTGTGTTTCATACCCGTCTGTTCTTGACTCATATATGCCTTCTGCATGCAATTATCCATCTCTTGAAGAATGTAAACATACATCATTCTTCAGTATGTAAGCAGTTTACTTCAGAACAGTAAACAACTTCTACTGTTGTGTTTCAGAGGCTATAGCCTCGCTTCTCAGTTAATCTGTGGGTGTTCTTCCTGTGGGTCTTAGGTACTTCTGGGTCTTCACTGGCGGGCCCCACTTCAGTGACAGCTGTCCTGTTCTCCTCCGGAATGATTTCTGCCTCGGGTTGTCGTGGCTGCCTCCCCTGGGCGCCCCATGATGCCTGGTCCACGATCGGGTCTTAAGCGGGTGGCTTAGTGTTTGTTCCCAAACAGCGTGCAGTGGGGCTGGGATGTGCCACCGCAGGGGCTTCTGCAATGGCACTGGCTCCGGCTGCCGTCCGTGCCCAGGCGCTCTGGGCCCTATGACCCTGCGGGAGTCTCACTCCTGGACACCACGGCCTCTTGTAGACCCAGAGTCCAGCAAAGCAGCAGCCTCAGCCCCTGCTCCCCACTATAAGTTTTGTTTTTGTTCAGTAGGGATATGTATTGTGTTTCTGAGTCCATGTCTTTGTAATCAAAAATTTAAAGCACATGTAATTGGGGCATTTGAAGTGGATGGGAGCCTTGACCCGAAGTCCCTAAAGTGATTTCCCTTCTTGAAGGCAAGGGCTCCCCAGCCTCGGAGTGCAGTGCCCACATGCAGACTCCCTGGAAACACGCCTCACCGCACACTTTCCCAAGTCCAGGTGGACAGGATCCGCATGAAGAAAAAGCTCCCTGAAAAGCTGTGTGCTCCAATTACTGTGCCTAAAAAGGCATAAACATCCATGTCCTGGATACCCTCAGCCTCCAAGACGAGGACATGGGATATATTAATAACTGTGGGCCCCACACCATGAGCTCGGGATCTAAATGAAGGTGTGTGTCGGCAGGGGCTTTGGGCTCTGTGCCGTTGCCCCAGACCAGTGCTCCTGCAGAGACCCTGGGCTGCATGCAGTACAAGGTGTAGTGAGGTAACAAGGTGCCCCAAGCAAACGGTAAAGCTAAAACCTCTTAGGGGCGCCTGGGTGGCTCAGTCATTAAGCGTCTGCCTTAGGCTCAGGTCATGATTCCAGGGTCCCGGGATCGAGCCCCTCATCGGGCTCCCTGCTCCGCGGGAAGCCTGTGTCTCCCTCTCCCTCTCCCCCTGCTTGTGTTCCCTCACTCACTGTGTCTCTCTCTGTCAAATAAATAAGTAAAACCTTTAAAAAAAATAAAATAAAATAAAATCTCCTAGTACAGCAGCCCAGGGCACTGGGTTGCTCCTCATCCTACAATCTTTGGGAGGTTCCACCTGTGCACACTTCCCCCCCTCCACCTGGGCAAACTTCCCCCCTCCACCTGGGAACACTCCCCCCTCCACCTGGGCACACTTCCCCCCCTCCACCTGGGCACACTTCCCCCCCTCAACTGGGCACACTCCCCCCTCCACCTGGGCACACTTCCTCCCCTCCACCTGGGCACACTTCCCCCCCTCCCCCTGGGCACCCCCCCCCCCCCCCCCGGGGCCCCCTCCCCCCCCCCACCTGGGCACACTCCCCCCTTGCTGTCTCCTTTCACAAATTCCCCACTCCCTCAGGATGCACTGCACCCCATTCCTTCATGGGTAGACAGGGAACAGAGCCCCCAACTTTATGTGCCGGTGGCCTCAGAAGCTGAGTGTGGTCCTTTTCAGTGCCATGCATAGTCCGAAAAAGGCACCTCTGTTCCAACCAGAGAGCTTCTGAATGGGGAGGATTGTAATCACTTGAAAGAGCAATTGAGATGCAGGACACTTGAGGAATTATGGGGGCCAGAGGGGAGAGGTGCTTTGGGGACAAGAGCCCCTTGCACCTGGATGTGCAGGAATGACCTACTGTCCTGTGCACAGGGCTGCGAGGGGGTGGAGTGGGGCGATCCTTTTGGTTCACTTCCTCCTGCTGCATTTCCTGTGGGCCGCAAATCAGTGAGGCTCAACTTAAAACAGCTTGTCTGGGCTCCATCCCAGGAGCAATGCACCCACCTGCCCCCTGAGGCAGGAGCTCTGTGGGAT